TATGATGGCGCGAGCAATGAGAATTTACATTTTGGTAATCGAAATACGTAAAAGAATAATTTTTCTTTTCTAGTTCTCGCCGTGTTCATTGGAAGATAAAGACACCATTTTATTTCCATCTAGATCCAGTTACAGAAACGTGAAAACGTTTTTTTTTTTCTCTAATAAAGGCTAACAGGCCATGGGTGTACCGTGACCGAGGGATAATTATTAGCATGCAGCTGATAAATCCGACACGAGTAGTCCGGTTACTTGTTAAAAAAGTACCATTTGCTGATAATGCTATAAATAAACTACCTCACCTTTTAAACATTAAGTGTCGATTTAACTTTGTCACAAGAGCCGTGAAGTACATGTATGGTGAAGTGAATGCCGCCTTTAGTAATATTTACCACCTCTAAGTTTTTGGTCTTTTTTACTAGGTACGTTTTGATATTCGGCACGCAACAAAAACAAAAACAAATCGAATTAAAAAACAAAAACCACACTGCTGCAAAATACACTTTAACATTAGCACCATTCTTGAATTCCAAAACCTTCGTAATAATCAAAAGTCCCTTTGAAAGTAGAGCTTACTAAATTCTATATACAGTCTACAGGCCTGTAAATGACTGTAGCTATGTGTCCTCGTATGGCAAGGTAATACAACGTCATCAGCACAAAGGATGTGAAGATGTGAAGTTAAGCAAGCTATGTATGGAAGTCTACTAATATCAAGGTAGTCGTTTTAGCAGCATCGATGCTTTTTCTGTGCAAGCACAATATCGACTTCGAGGTGGTCTGTTGTTTGGCCGGCCTGATNGTATCCAAATTCACTTGAACAACAAGTACACATTATAAATATGGATACTCATTTTTAAAATTCCTTTCTTCTTTCGTACCCCAACGTTGAATAATCGTCATATTTCCCATTGAAATGTCTTTAATCTCATGGATCTAATGCATTTTGTCAGAAAGCGCTAACTAAAAATAGTTCTTAAGCCTGTACTTTTTGCTGCGTGAAGACTAACATGCAGTAACATTTCGTGATCACGTATCATTTTGAGTAAGTGTTAATCAACTAATTAACACTTAATTTTCAACCAATCAGACGATAGGCTAGGTTGATACACATCGTCGATTTTCAAATCGGAGGTCCAAAAAAGTATTTTTATTTTATTTACCTTTAAGATATCAAGACCTTCACGTTTGATTTTAAACGGTAAACATAATTCAGTATTAAGAAAGAAATAGTCCCGGCCTCAGTTCTCTTGAAGGAGATTTATCAGTTTTCAAATGATTAAATTAATTGTCCTTTCAACGAGCTCGCCTTTGTGGTTCAAGACCTGATTATTAATCTTCGATAGCATTACAAAAAACAATTATTTCTTTTTGCTGTTAAACAAATTGGTAGTCTTCTTGTCTCCCTTCTTTGTCCCTGACAACAACAGAAAGCTGATAATTCGTATAGTGTGATCGTCC